TGAATCATTTAATACATAATTGAAAGTTTTGAGTTTATAATAAAAATTCTAGTATTCTAATTTAAAGTATTAACTCATATCTTCACCCCAATGTTTAATAAAAACTTAAAAATAATGTTCTACTTATTATTCCCTACTTTGCATCTTTCCTTTAGCTCCAATAACAGCTGAAGGATAAGATCTTTGGGAACTCTCAGATCCATTTCACAGTTGAAGGCAAACACACAATCAACTATTCAGGTGTTCTTCTCCGTTTTAAAGATAGCTACACCTCTGTTGGTGAAAACAATGCATTTGCACATCACATTTCTTGGTCATAAACTTCAACCTGATAACCAGCAATGATAATTAAAAATCTCTCTCGATGAATAGACTGTTCAGTGCATTTGCTCCATTAATTCATTTACTCCACAAATATTTATGGAGAACCTGCTATGCCCTGGACACAATGCCAAGGGCTGTAAATTAACAAATGGTTAAGGCCGGGCCCGTGATTTCAGGGAGGAGGCGCTATGAAGCATGGGAGGGTTATGGACACCTACAAAGAGCTGCCAATGTGGGTGAGAGGGGGTCCAAGGCAGTTGAGGGCGAGTGGGAGCGCAAGGATGGGCCCCATCAGTGCACTGTGTCCTCAGCTGAACGGCACGCATTACTCCCTGGCACAGAAAGGCAGCCTGTCTCCTTCTGCCTGGTGAAAGGTATGAGGTATGGGCACTGATGGGGGAACACGGGGGCATGTTCAGAGGACGTGAATATGTACGTTGTTGGCAGGCCTGGGAGAAGCATGTTCAAACCTTCCAGCCCCCACTTCACTGGAACTGTGCTAGCATTTAACGCTGATCACCACAGTTCCTTTTCCAAAGTCCTCTTTCCCTGGATCTGTAAGGTAACACTCTCCTGTCTGTCTTCTTTCAGCCCCCACCTCTAAGATGTATTTGAAAATCCCTCTCTCCAGTGGGGCCTCGCTTTAGGCTTTTGATCTGTACAGATAAGTGTCCGTTTGACATCTCCTCTTAGACAATGAGGCAAAGGCCATTCAATCTTAGCACGTTTAGAACTGGCCTCGTTCTCTTCCCTCCCAAACCCTGGTCCTCTAATCCAGCTCCTTAACCCAGTGAGTGGTGCCCTGTCTTCCCTGGTAAGTATGGCTGAGGCTTGAAAGTCATCTTACACACCTGCTTCCTCTTGCTCTTCTCCAGTTTCTGTCAGAATCCAACCACCCACAACTGGTGCTGACTCTGCCCTTGGGCATCTTTGCATTTCTATTGAGGCCCATTGTGATGCTGCCTTGCTGCATCCCTCAGCCTAAATCAACTTTCCTCCTCCTGTACTTCCTTCCCAGGGATGACAGTGGCTTCATCAATCCCAGGGAGTCCTTCCCTGTCTAGACCAATACCTCTCCTTAACTGCTCTCAAAGTATTCTTCTTTCGGTACTTATCACAATTATGATCTTAGAATTTTTTTATAATGTCTGTCTCTTCCATTAGACTATATATTCCATGAGACAGGGTATATTAATATATTTTACAATTCAAAAATCACTGCTTAGAAAATTGATGAGCGTTAGTAAATATCTCCTCAATAAATGCAGAATGAAGTATGCACATACAAACTTCAGTTGTACCCCATACTCTGCAACTTACTAATTTCCCTAAAATATATAGGGTCTGTGATAGCATCTTGTGACTGAGTTACTACAACAACTCTATTTGTTGATGGGATTTGGCCAAAAGGCTTCATGTCATTTCCAAATGTTTCCTGGGAGTAGGTTTTCTTCCCCGCTTTGAAAAATGCAAAGTTTATTTATTTATTTATTTTCCTGCCCTGCTCTTTCTACTTGAGAGAAAATTTAATAAGTCTAGGCTGCGGTTGAGGTCAGAGGTTTTAAGAATAGAGAACAAAATGTTCATTCTAGTAATTATACAATGTCATATTACTTAACAACTCATAATGTTAGAAGGAAATTTTTTGGTTATTTCCATTTTATTTCTATTAATATTGTCTAGAACAAGTAAATGCATAGAGCTTATCTGAACTTTTCTGTTGTTTTTGGTTTCTTACCTACTTCTAAAAACCTTCAACGACATTAATTTTATCAGTGTCCGTGAATGGATAAAATGTGGTCAATTCTATTTGGTAAAAACAAAAGAAACAAACATGGCAATTATGTTCTATAAAGTTACAGTAGACACAAAAATAGCTAATACTGACCTATGTCTCCTTCAAGGGGATATACAGGGTGACATTCCTGGAAGTTCCTGCTCATAACATTTTCATCAACTGATCTACACCTAATCTTGTTTTATGTGTATTTCTGTTTAAAGATACCGTATTAACATATATTGTTGATTCACTAATACTCAGCTCAGAGTCAACTGTACTGTTACTCATGCCTGATAGAAGCTTATCGAACATCTGTATTTTTTCCCTAAGGCACATCACAGCCTTCTTGCACTTAGGAACACCAGAAAGCACTACAGCGTTCTGCTCATGGGTCATTTTAAACAGTGAAATCGTCACAAAAAAGCACAACAATGCAAAAAATACATGGTACTAAATAGACCATGTAAAAGATACTTGTTTACCATACGAGAACTGGAACAAGAAGGCAGAGTCTCAGCTGAAATGCCCAGGTCAGGTACCGCAAATTTACTGCCTCTCTGTGCGGCAAACACTGACTTTGGGTTTACAAATAAATGTGCCAGAAGACCAATGTACAAATACAGAATCTGCAAATAACGAGATAAAGTCTACACACATACAATGGAGTATTATCCAGCCGTGAAATGAAATTTTGATACCTGCTACAGTAAGGATGAACCTTGAAAACATTATGCTAAGTGAAATAAGCCAGACCAAAAAAGAAAAAGACACATATTACATGGTTCCATTTATATGAATATCTAGGATAGGCAAGTTATCAGGGCTTTGGGGGAAAGGAGGATGCTGAGTTATTGCTCAATGGGTCCAGAGTTTCTGTTTGGGATGATGAAAAAAGTACTGGAGATAGATGTGATGGGAACACAGCGAAGTCAATGCAATTATAATGCTACTGTTGTACCATGAATGGTTAAAGAGGAGCATTTTACATTATGCACATTTGACAATAATCAATCAATAGAGTCACTGAATAAGATTAAATGGATTATTTGAATCTTCTGTTAAAACCTAAAGGAGACATCTGGATGGAACTAAGAGATTCTAATTTACCCACATGTCCTCTTAAAGCAAAGACCCTCCTTAATATGTTTTCTTTTTTTTCTTGGCCACACTGAGCAGCTTACAGGATCTGTTTCCCAACCAGGGATCGAACAGGGCTCCCAGCAGTGGAAGCACAGTGGCCTAACCAGTGGACCCTTGGGGAATCCCAAAATGCTTTCCTTTTGGTTTACAGACCACATTGGAAAACAAGCTTGTTGTTTAATAATATCAGCTGGTTACTGAGGAAAACAAACAAATTAAAATGTGCATGTCAGTTGTTTGGCCTCACATCATGCTTTTGGTGAAAATGTATGTACTCACAGAATTATTTGTTCTGATTGCCAAAAGAATGGTCACCCAAGGAACCAACAACTGATGCTCCTAATTTATCTTGAACTAAAACTGCCTCTCTGGTCCACTATAACTGGGTGAAGTGATTTTCTCAGGAAAACTACCCCCAGTACAATTTAGGTATTTAGGCACTACATGTCCACTTTGAATCTTTCATGTCCCTTCTCTCTTACCTCACCAATCTAATTCTCATCTGCTTCCTTCCCTACTGAAAAACCCCTGTTTTCATATCTCTAGAGAGCCATCTGTTAGAATATGGCTGTGGTTACTATCATCATTCAAATGTTCCTTTTTATTTTAAGTATTTCTTGACCCAACAATTACAAAGAAGCATGGCTAGATATAAACATAAACGGAATGTGCTAATGTGGAATGCAAACAATATTAAAATGTTAAACTTAACATAGGGAGGAATTCATGGCCAAAAAAAAGTCTATTACAGTTCTTTCAATCTTTTTAAAATGCATCATAAAACTAAAAATGTTTCACTACAGAATAACATTTTGGCTTCTCTTATGATTGCAAAGAAGGGTAATTATGATTGTCATGAAAACACAGTGAGCAGCTGTATACTGTTAACAAAAGAATCACTCTATGAATGTGCTCAAAACCTGGCATTTTATACACTCACATTTCCTAGAAATTAGACAGTCTTCCCAACTGGAGCAGACAGCAGAAGAGACGTTTTTCTATTAATTGTGGCTTTGTACCAATCAAGTTTTGGGAGCCAATTGGATTATCTTTTTTTGGGACAATTTCTTACACATACTCAGACATGTGCATTATAATTTTATAAAAAGTAATTTTTAAGTTCTCAAATGATAGCTTTTTCTATTTGCGCCTTTTTTTTTTTTTAACTTTTAAAATTTTTTGGCCTTGCTGCATGGGATGTGGGATCTTAGTTCCCCAATTAGGGATCAAACCCACACCTGCTGCAAATAAATGTGGCATCTTAACCACTGGACCACCAGGAAAGTCTTGATAGCATTTTAGCTCTTAAAAAATATTGGTGGGACTTCCCTACCGTGGATAGGAGTCTGCTTGCCAATGCGGGCGATATGGGTTCGATTCCTAGTGCGGGAAGATTCTACATGCCATGGAGGAACTGAAGCCCATATGCTGCAACTACTGAAGCCTGCACTCTAGGTAGGGCCTGTGAGTTGCAACTATGGGACCCATGTGCTACAACTGCTGAAGCTTGCATGCCCTAGAACCTAAGCTCTATAATCAGAGGAGCCACTGCAAGGAGAAAAAGTCCATACAGAAATACTGCTCACCGCAACCAGAGAAAGCCTGCGTGCAGCAGTGAAGACCCAGCACAACCATAAAAACCACACACATATATCAGTGTACTCTTTCATAGAGGTACATCTGTTAGAAATCATAAAAAAAGCACAATGAATGACTCCTCAGTTTATTTTATGAAGACTAATGAATAGGTACTTACTCATTAAAGACTAGGTCTGGTGCAAAATAGAGATACTGGCTGTTCGTATGTTTGTACGATCTCCAGCTCAAGGCAAATGACGACAGACACATCCAAGAATACTGGATGAGGGTTATTTGGTCCTCAAGAGGCAGGTTTTTAAATCCTGAAGAACAGAACAATTTACCACAGAAAACACTTAGCATTTAAGTACATCCCAGGAAGAAACTTCTTAAGTCCACCCCCACTGCCCCCTTTCTCTTATCAACTCAAATCAATTCCACAGTTACTTCCAGAGTACCTATCATGGACCTGGCCTTGTTTAACATTTTATGTTAAATTCACCCTAAATTCTCAAGAAGTATAAAGTGCCAGAGCAAAGAAAACTAAGATGTCCTGGAAGTTTCACTGTGGATGGTGGTCTACCACCCTTGGTGGGACTGAAAGAATTTGTGTTAATCTTTGCCACTTGCTTCAGCCTACTCACAACAGATACCTTCAAAACCAAAGATAATTTAATGACTGTTTACTACTGCATACCTGCAACAGTGGTGGAAGATTTTAGTTTTCATGAAGTGAAATGAAAGTTAGTCACTCAGTCTAGTCTGATTTCATGACCCCACGGCCTGTAGCCCACCAGGTTCCTTTGTCCATGGAATTCTCCAGGAAAGAACACTGGAGTGGGTTGCCATTTCCTTCTCCAGGGGATCTTCCCAACCCAGGGATTGAACCCAGGTCTCCCACATTGCAGGCAGACTCTTTACTGCCTGAGCCACCAGGGAAGCCTGGTTTCCTGGTTAATTTTCATGAGTTTGCAGGGATTTAAAAAGTCTTGTTCCTTGCTTCCCTTAGTTGGGAATAACCAGACTTTTGAGGCAGAATAAGCATCCTTGGCAGGGCTTCCTCAATAGCTCCACAGTAAAGAATCTGCCTGCAATGCAGGAGACTCAGGAGATGCGGGTTCAATCCCAGAGTCAGGAAGATGCCCTGGAGGAGGAAATAGCAACCCTCTCCAGTATTCTTGCCTGGAGAATCCCAAACACAGAAGAGCCTGGCAGGCTACAATCTATGGGGGTCTAAGAGTCAGACACGACTGAATGACTGAGCACGCATGTTATTGAGCATCCTTGGCGCTGGTCCTGCCTCACCCACAGTCTCCCTTTCTGGGCCTCAATTCATCCTTCATTCGTTTCTTTTTCCACCCTCTGTACTCCAAGAGGCACCAGGGTATCCTGTTCATGTAGTTTCACCTGGGCAAGCCTCCCTTCAAAGAATTAGGGCTTATGATTATTTTTTGTTTTATAGCTGCTGGGTGACCACAGGTCATCTAAGAAATGGCTTTGGATTAATGAATTGGGACAATGTGATTGCAATTCTAAGTGATGTTTCCATAGATTAACAGGGACCTTATTAATAAAATTCTACAGCATAAAAAATGACCAAATTAGGAATTTCAAGGACAACTGAAAGGGTGCTGGAGGTAAGATGATATTTTCAGCAAGATGCAGAGACGCCTAAAGCTTACTTGACAGGTCTTTTTAAAAAATTAACATTTATTGGAGTATAATTGATTTACAATATTGTGTTAGTTTCAGGTGTATAGCAAAGTGAACCAGTTTATATACAGGATATATAATTACATATATTCATATAGTTATAATCAGAATATATACATATAGCCACTCTTTTTTAGATTCTTTTTCCATAGAGGTCATTACAGAGTATTCAGTAGAGTTTCCTGTGCTATATATTTTTTAAATATGGATATGTATGTGCATGCATGCTCAATCGCTTCATTCATGTCTGACTCTTTGTGACCCTGTGGACCATAGTCTATCAGGCTCCTCCATCCAGGGGATTCTCCAGGCAAGAATACTAGAGTGGGTTGCCATGCCCTTCTCCAGGGAATCTTCCCAATTCAGGGATTGAAACCATGTCTCTTACATCTCTTGCACTGGCGGGCGGGTTCTTTACCACTAGTGCCACCTGAAAAGCCCATATATAGTATATATAACTATTTTATATACAGTAGTGGGTATGTCTTAATTAACTTGGTTTAGGCTGAGATTAGCTATTGTTATCAGCTGCCAATAACGGGCTTATTCTGGGCTTTGACAACTAGAATGTGTTTTTGCCTTATTAATATTACCGGGATGAAATGTTCCATTTCAATCGTCAACATAAGAAATGCATACATTACATTAACTGTAGAATACTTAACGCATGTCTCAAGAGAAATGAGTACACTCACCAGACTTTTTCTACAAACTGAATTTGACATCAAGTTAAAAAAAAAAAAAAACTGGGTCCCAGGATTGAGACGAACGCTAAGTCAATTGCACTGTTGCATATGGCTCACTCTGTGGCCCTGAGGCGCCCAGCTCAGGATGCAGACCCAGAAAGGAGAGCCCGTCCTCACCTGGAAGTACCTTCGCCCACTTCACAACTTGGATCATCTGCTTGCCGGCTAAGCGGTTGAGGGTGGAGAGCAGGTTTTCGGCCGTATCCGGCTTGGAGCCGTCATAGCCTGCATATACAATCTCGGGCTCGATGGTTTCAAGGATCATCGAAGGGGAAGGAGTGAGCGCTCGGGAGATGGTGGAGAGCTGCGGGACCAGCGCCGAGTTGACCGCGGGCTCCTGCGCAGGCGCGATGTACGTAGTGCCTTCCTCGGGGCTCTGGGGGGGCGGGGGCGGGGGTGGGGGCTGCTGCGCCTGCTCCTCGTGAATCCCTTTTAACTTCCCCAACTTCTTGGACTTCCGAGCTGAAAAGAGAAAGGTATAAACAATAAGGGCAAATTAAGATTATGTTTGGCCTGATAAATATGTCAAGTGCAGCATTTCCATATGTTACGGATGAATGAATACTGCTGAGTTACAAGAAAAAACTATTAAAGAAAAAATTTTATTTTTTTCATTTTGTGTCCATATGAGGGTCTGATTGTTCACTAAACTGACTGGGATAATCATTTCATGATGTATTAAAATCATTAAGCTGTACACTGTAACCTTACATAGTGCATGCTGGGCTTCCCCGGTGGTTGAGCTGGTAAAGAATCCGCCTGCGATGCAGGAGACCTGGATTCTATCCCTGAGTTGGGAAGGTCCCCTGGAGAAGGGAAAGACTACCCACTCCAGTGTTCTGCTCTGGAGAAGTCCATAGCATGGAGTAGCAAAGAGTCTGACACGACTGAGCAACTTTCACTTTCTTTCTTTCAAGTTGCTTGAGTAGTATCCCACTCTTTGTGACCCTGGACTGTAGCCCACCGGCCTCCTCTGTCCATGGGATTCTCCAGGCAAGAATACTGGAGTGAGCTGCCATAGTGCTATATGTCAATTATTATCTCAATAAAAATGAAATGCAATAAATAGTACCAAAGAAGAGAATTAAATAAAAGGTCATGTTGGGGATACTGTCCATGAGGTACATTGCAATCATATATTAACTTATATTGATGAAAGCATATTTTTTCTCTAAAGATGTCTTGCTATATTGGTAGGAATAGTTCTTTTTCAATATTTTTCTGATAGCAGGCATTGTCCTCTATGCTTTCTATAAATTAACCACTTTAACAACTTCGTCAGTTTTATGGCTAAGTACTATTACAATTCTCATTTTATAATGAGGAAAGCGAGACCAGAAGGGCTGAGAGTCTGTCCAAGATCACACAGCTAGCACATGTAAAACAGACGTAAGAGTTCAGAGGAAGGGCAAGTTACTTCAGATGCTATTAAGTTATATATGCCTCAACTAAATTTTATATAATAAAAAATTCCCACCTATTATCCACCAGAGTTGGCAACAAGAGCTAGCCTGACCTGAGTGAACCTTGGTCTGAGCCCTGTCTCTGCTCCCTCTAATTAGCTTTCCCTGGCCCTTGACTTGTTCCCCTTTGGTGTTTCTCTGCCACCTAATCTTGCTGAGGCCGACATGTAACCACTCCCTTACTTGGAGTAGCTATTTTGTGCAAGTGCTGTTAGACCAAGATCCCAGCTATACTGTGAACTGCTGAGACATAAAGATTGGGTGTTCCTCCTCTTTGACAGCCCCCACGTCACCTTGGTAAATGTTACGCCTGCACAAGTGATTTACACATTTCCACTGTATGAATGGGGTTGCAATCCACCCCAAAGCAGGACAACAGAAGGGAAGAAATGAAGTATCTAGATGATTCCAAATTGGAGTGCTAACTAGTAAATGTATAGGAAATTAATGCTATTAAAAAAGGCAGGTGTGAGTTATACCATTACACAATCTTTAAAAATCTCTCCTACTTTTTTTTTTATTATAAATAAACAATTCACATATCACATGGGCTATAATTAACAGAGATCACAAAATACTGTACAGGAATACCACTTTAGAGTTCCAGGAGAATATATGTACAAGAGATCATGTTCTAATTTATCTAGAACAGTCCTGGTTTAGATAAATTTGGTTTATGCCTGTTTCCCAGCATGATTATTAGTTAAGTGCCCCCCTTTTACTCCTAAAAGTACCACATTTTGGACAACAAATAATGCATTCATCTTAATTAAAACCAAAGAATCAGTATTAACTTTAAGCAACTGCTTACAAATTTTTTATTGAAGTATAATTGGTTTACAGTGTTGTGTTAGTTTCTGCAGTATAGCAAAGTGTCTCAGGTTTCATATTTGTTTCCATTATGGTTTATCACAGGATACTGAATATAGATCCCTGTGCAATACAGGACCTTGTTGTTGATCCATTCCATATATAGTACTTTGCATCCGCTGATCCCAAACTCCCAAAACTTCCCTCTCCCCAACCCTGCCCCCTTGGAAACCACACGTCTGTTCTCTATGTCTGTTTCATAGATAGGTTCATTTGTGCTGTATTTTACCTTCCACATATAAGTCGTATCATATGGTACCTGTCTTTCACTCTCTGACTTAGTTTGCTTAGTACGTTAATCTCAAATTCCATCCATGTTGCTGCAAATAGCATTCTTTTGTTCTTTTTAATGACTGAGTAATATTCCACTGTATAAATGTACCACTTCTTTATCCGCTCATCTCTTGACGGACATTTAGGTGGTTTCCATGTCTTGGCTACTGTAAATGGTGCAATAGCAACTGCTTTTCATTCACGTCTCTCTTGATGGCTCACTCATGCAGAACAGATCCCTCTTTGCTTGACAAGCGAGTCTTCCCTCTGCTCTCCATGGGGGACTCGAGTTTTGTCCAGGAAAAGGTACTGATTTAATAACAGAAGTCTATCTTTTAGTGGATTTCTTTCTTCTGTGATCAGTGGGATGTTAATATGGACTTCCTGTTTTGTATTGAATAACTTTGGGCTTCCCAGGTGGTGCTAAAGAATCTGCCTGTCAATGCAGAAGATGCAAGAGATGCAGGTTTGATTCCTGGATGGGGAAGAGCTCCTGGAGAAGGAAATGGCAACCCACTCCAGTATTCTTGCCTAAGAAGTCCCATGGACAGAGGAGCCTGGTGGGCTACAGTCCATAGGGTTGCAAAAGAGTTGGAGACAACTTAGCAACTAAACAACAGTAACAATGATAGAGATGGTAAAAGAAAGATGGGGGATGGGGTAGGAGAACTGGAAGGTAGATGGGAGGATTGGTGGATGGATAGCAGGTGGGTGAGGTTGATGAAGAGTTTACTAGGTAATGGGAAAGATGGGTTGAATGAGTGAATAAATGGATAATAATAGAGAAAGCTCAGACATGCCAAATAAGCTTCGTTTCAATTCAGTTCAGTTGCTCAATCATATCTGACTCATTGTGACCCCATGGATCTGCAGCATGCCAGGCTTCCCTGTCCATCACCATCTCCCAGAGCTTGCTCAAACTCGTGTCCATCAAGTCAATGATGCCATCCGACCATCTCATCCTCTGTTATCCCTTTCTCCTCCTGCCTTCAATATTTCCCAGCATCAGGGTCTTTTCCAATGAGTCAGTTCTTTGCATCAGGTGGCCAAAGTATTGGAGCTTCAGCTCCAGCATCAGTCCTTCCAATGAATATTCAGGACTGAGTTCCTTTAGGATGGACTGGTTGGATCTCCGTGCAGTCTAGGGACCCTCAAGAGTCTTCTCCAACACCACAGTTCAAAAGCATCAATTCTTCAGTGCTCAGTCCAACTCTCACTTCTAAATGAGTTTAGAGCTCTGGTAATAACTTGCTTTACAACTGTAAGCTTTTCCATTTTATTAAGTAATTTATTTTTAAACTCCTGAAGTACCAGACATCTTTAACTTAGTTCTAACATGTATGAGGAACTTACAAGATACATATTTAACACAGAGTAGAGCTATGCAACCTTGACAGCATATTAAAAGGCAGAGACATTACTTTTCCAACAAAGGTCCATCTAGTCAAGGCTATGATTTTTCCAGTGGTCATGTATGGATGTGAGAGTTGGAGTATAAAGAACGCTGAGCACCGAAGAATTGATGCTTTTGAACTGTGGTGTTGGAGAAGACTCTTGAGAACCCCTTGGACTGCAAGGAGATCCAACCAGTCCATCCTAAAAGAATTCAGTCCTGAATATTCAATGCAGGACTGATGCTGAAGCTGAAAATCCAATACTTTGGCCACATGATGCAAACAACTGACTCATAGGAAAAGACCCTGATGCTGGGAAAGATTGAAGGTGGAAGGAGAAGGGGACGACAGAGGATGAGATGGTTGGATGGTATCACTGACTCCATGAACATGAATGAGTAACCTCCGGGAGTTGGTGCTGGACAGGGAGGCCTGGCTAGTTGCAGTCCATGGGGTTGTAAACAGACATGACTGAGCAACTGAACTGAACTGAGCTGAGGGCTATGCCACACCAGTTAACTTGATTTTCAAAATAACCATTCATGCTTGTCATTATACCACTTTCATCCCAGAAGCACTTATTGTTACAGATAAAAGACAAGACATATCTGCCACCCATTCATTAAATGTTGGAGCTGGGCTTAAGAGATGAACAAGATGTCATTCCTATCTTTAAGGAGTTTGAAATTACCAATTAACAGTTAAAATTTTTCAATTATTTCAGATCATTTCATTTCTCGTTAAGAGGCAGAAAAATCTGAGTTTTAGAATTGTCTGAATAAGAGGCAGGTGCAGTCTATTTACATATGTTAATGGAGAGCTGCTGGTTAAGTACTGCCCAGCAGTTCTGAGTGTACAGTAGGGAACCAAGATGCTTCTGATGAAGGAATAAGTGAATGAACTGAAGAAAAAATAACCACTAAATGCCTCACAAACTAGGCCAAACAGAGAAGGAGAAGAAAAGAATCAAACATGCAGATAATCCCAAATGCCGGTCAATGGATGACTCTATAAGAGCTTGAGAAAATCCTCGATTGCACAGATTAGCCATATGAGGAGTCAGATATTTGGAACTAACTGCTTCTGTGTCACATAAGTTCTCTCTAAGCCTCAACTGATTCATCCAAAAAATAAGAATGATAGTGTTTCTATCCCCGATTTCACAGAGGGCTAAATGGATAAGAAAACTAAAACAATGCTGAATATTATTATTAACATCTGAAAGAGTGCACCAACATTACTTTCATTTTTTCACATAATTTCGCAGATACTAAAACTATTCCAGTTCATTAAAATGCCCTTACTCTTTAAAAGATTACATCTAATGATAGCTATCATTTGCTTGACAAGAAATAGCTAAGGGTGGTATTCTCAAATTTTATTAAAAGTTATATTTGCTTGCAAATTAATTATGAGATTCATACTTGTTTTAGGCCTTCAATCTATAATGGTGCATCTATTT